CCATCTTGTTGCAGCTATAATTCCATGGTTTCACTTGTCACTTTTTACAAGTGAACTCCTGAACGCTGCAGATGATCCACTTCCTGTTTGGACTCTGCTCGCTCTGACCAGTGTGTGTGTTTTCAGGTGTGTTTTATGGGCAGTGATTAATTCCCACACTGAGATAAAACACTTGGACGGAGATCTTATTGGTGTGAATGTAGCCCCAGGTGACAACAATGACTCTAATGACTGTCATTACAACAGTCAGGAGCACTAATGAACCGAGTGACATCAATGGCCTCCGTAATGATACCACAGAGGTTAAATACCTGCCTGGGACTCCCCGCCAGTCAGCAAAGCAAACATTAAAATATCAGAAAATATGCTAACAGAATTCACAAGTGAAATGAGGTGTAAATTAAAATGTCTAAAAGAGAGGATGATGCGCAGGGGAGGGCGGCGGTCAGGATTAATGGAGGCAGGGATCTGACCTTGGAAGAGGAGAACGAGAGAGGCAGGAAAAAAATGAATGAAAGGAAGAAAACAAAGAAAGTCTGAGAGCAGCACGGTGGCCCGGTGGACAGACTTTCTGTCATGAAAAGGTTCATATCCCCTTTAAACTCTGGACATGGTTCAACTTTCCGTGCGTCCTGAAACTATTTTTTACCCGGGGCTCTATCAAGTATTCACTAACATTGACAAAACTGCCTCAGTGGAAGACAAAGGGAAACGTCAAGTACGTCAAGACGTTTTCAAAAACTCCGTCCAAACTGTTGTCTTTTGTCCATCAAAATGCTCAATACTGAGGAAGCTGCTAATTATCAGCTACAGTTCTGTTCTGTGTATCGATTACTGGAGGAAAATGGCAGTGTGAACAGTGTGTGTGTGTGTGTGTGTGGGAGGAGAGTGAAATGGTGTGTATGGGATCTCCAGTCTTCATCCTCTGGTAACACTGTGTGGGCCTGTTGGAAAACACACTATGAAGGAAAAACTGTGGATTTCTCTGGTTGTTCACATCAGTCAGCAAAACTCCATCTCCTCCTTTTACTCCTTTTACTCCTCCGTTTCTTTCCTGGCTTGAAGTTTGCTCAATCTGTCCATTCTTTTTTTTTTTTTTTAGCAAAAGGAGCAGCTAACTTTTAACCATACGTCTATTTTTTCCTTCTTTTTTAAGCAAAAAGTAGTTGTTATTTCTGAACTTGATCTTGTACTTATCTTTCAGTTTTTTGCTATTCCGTATAGATATTCGAAAGTTATATCTGTTTTAAACTTTAAACTTGTAAAATCCTGAATGACAGACCCCATTATGAGTAGATGGACAGCTGTCTGATAAAAGTCAACTTTATTGTGTCCGTCTAATTGTGTCCTAACTGTTCCAATTGTTACCACGTTCCCAGTGAGATCTGTAACAACATCTGCCCCCAGGGGTGGACACAGTGAGCTCACCATGAGTAATGTTGATGGTGTTCACAAATGAAGCAGGAAGAAGCGGTGCTTTCTTTTAAGGATTTCTCCTGCAGCCACAGAGCTGCGTCCATTGTTTGTGTATGATCTATGGACACCACAGATGTTCCCCTGCAGTGATTTACACAACATTAGCTACATTTAAATAACACAACCTGCTTTACACAGTCATCAATCGGAAACTACTTAGCAGCGGCTTGACTAACAGCACAGTGCAGATATTCAACTTATTATAACTCACATCCTAATTTCAGAATAAGTGTGACCAATAAAACTGCTGCAATCAAACACCACTCAAGTGGAAGAGCGCGATCAGCAGAATGTACTTGGAGAGAGCGTAAGTGCTACAAATGCAGGCTGAATGGTTGGGCTCCGTATGCCGTTACTGCTGAATGCGATGTGTTTGTTGCATAAATGCATCATATTTTAGCGTTTGATTAAATTCTCCGCAGGTGAAACGGCAAAATCGTTGCTAAGGATAGATGTCAACTCCACGCCGCCGAGCCAAAAACTCTTCCTCATCATGAAATACAGAGGAATAGAAATGTAAACTAGCAGAAGATGGAAAAAAGCCGTTGCTTAGTTCCGTTTGGACGGCACCGTGTGATAAATGGAAATAATAGGAGTCGGAAAATGAGGAGTGGGGAGAGAGAGGGGGAGACGGACTGGGCTGAGGGGGAGAGGAGAAAGATGATTAAGTTGATGGAGGTCAGGAGGAAGATGACAGACAGGGGAGAGGACGGAGAAGGAGGGAGGGAGGAGCAGCAGGAGCTGTGGCGCTACCTGTTAGCGATTCAGCCGCTGACAATGGCTTTTATAATAGGGAGAGGCCGAGCAAACGGAAAGGCTTCATTCACAGATGTGTCAGGAGGAGTTAAGCCGATTTGTGATTTCGATTTTCTGTGTTTGTGAGACAGTCTGTGAGGGAGAGAGAGACGCTCTGAGTGTGTGTGTGTGTGTGTTACATCTGCCAGGAAAAGAAAATGAGAAAAGAGATTGACACAAAAATTGGACAATATATGTTTTTGATTTGTCCTACCATCGTTTTTTTTTTTTTTGGACAATAACAGCTGCTGTAGAAATGTGTGTAAGAAATGATGTCCACAGTTGTACGTTGTACATGTTTCGGTGAGTGTGTGTTTGTGTGTGTGTGGCAGTGCGAGACAGTATTGATCCCGCTCCAGACAGGAAACAGATGATATCAGGCCTCCTGGCTGTTAACTACGCTGATTTACAGCCCGCAGCTCAGGACAGTAAATAGGAAATAGAGTAAAATTTTAACAACCAGCGAGTGAAATGTGTCGAAAATGGACATCATAAAAAAATAAACTGTGAAGCTGCGATCATTGACAGCAAAACAGAACAAAACACACACTTCTCAAAAATGATGGCGTCCGTTCTGGAAGTGCGACCAAAGCTAGCAATAACTCAGTTACAAATATTAAAGGTTAAATAACCAATAGATAACCATTGATGATCACACTGCGGTGTCTGCCACTGCCGTTTACATAATTAGAAGTTAAACGTGCCTTTGAGCAGGGGTTTCCTAACCTCTGGTCTGGGGACCAGTGCCAGTCCGTAGGTCATTTGGTACCAGGTCACAGCGAGTAGTAATTTACTTCATTCAAAAAGAATCCAGTCATATCCCTTTACCTTTTTCATTAAAATATGATCTGAACAACAGGTCATTCACACTCTGATACCAACAAACTCCCGTAAAATGGCTAAATGTTAGCTAAAATCCTCAGAACAATAACAACAATTTGCTAAATATTTTTCATGAATTAAGATGAAGATAACCAAGAGTATACGCTCAATAATGCTGGGTACCAACATTTACTGTCGTTAATTGAGAAAATACGTATATATTAGCAGATGTTTACACATATATAGACAATGTGTTTAAATTTAAAGAAGATGTTTACACATATATAGACAATGTGGTTAAATTCCCAGTGTATTTTGTTCCTGCAGCTCAGAGTCAAACCTCCAACACGTCTCCAGACTCCCTCAGGCACAGGTCTACATGGGTAAGCCCAGACACAGCAGCCAGTATCCTGGGTCTTTATCTTTGATCCACAGTATGAAGCCTAACTGGGCTTTACCAGACAAGAAGCCCCCCCCCACTGTGACCCCCACAGTCTGACACCCCTGGTGGTGCAGGTGGAAAAGGTAAAAACAAAGATTCGAATGTAATGACACTAAAGACTAAAAAGTTGTAACTCAGCTGGAAAAACCAGGAAGTAGCTTCAAAAACATTAAACAAGAAATATTTTAAAAAACAGCAGAAATGTTAAAGTTAGCCCAAATAAATTAAATTTAAATCTTTTTTAAATTTTTAAATGATTTTATTCTACCCCAGTGCTGAGTTTAAACACCTCCCTGTGAGGAAACGCAGCTAATTTCTACAGTGACATTGAGGCAGCCTAAAGGGCGGCGCCGTTGTATGTAAACTGATTTACAAATAGAGCCTGACGGTGATGAAACACTCGTCGTCTCGGCTGCAGACGTCTATTGTTGCTGTACCTATTTGTCTTGGACATGACATGAAAACAGGGAGGATGACGGATCGGCCTCCTCCTGCCTATTGATTCATTTGTCTGCACACTGTGAGCACCGAGACACAGAGATTAACATTTTCAAAATGACACAGGATGACACGTGTGATCAGGAGGGTGAGATCGACCGGGGGCTCGGTGACGGTCAGGACGCTGAGACGTTGGTTTCAGGAGTTGATGCTGGATGTTTTTATTTATTAGAACACAGACCAGGGGCCGGTTCAGGACCAAAACATCAGCTCTGAATATTGTACAGTTATATGGACTGATTGGATGTGGACCGTC